GAAGATAATACATTTGTGTTAAGCCACTAAGTTTGTAATAACTTATTGCAGCAGCAACAGGGAACTCACACAGTGGGTGTGGGGATTAAATGAACCAATAGATGTGGAGCCAGATAGCTGCCCTTGGCCCTGAGGATTTGTTTAGAAGTGTGAGCCACTGTTACAGATATCACAAGTGAGCAGACGCCTGGCCTATGGGCTGTCTGACCCGGTGCCTGCCTGACTCAGTTCCCAGGCAGAATGGGGCCCCAGTGCCTGGTAGAGAGAATCTTGGACCCCTTCTTCTCCCGAGAAGCAGGATGAATCTCAGTGGCCCAGAAGCAGGTGTTGGTGCCATTACCTCAGCCTGATTTTTAGCAACAGCATCAGCTGAGTTTGATATTCCGATTTCTGCTCAGACTTCAGAGGAGCAGAAACCTGGGCTAACGTCCCAGAGTTGGGGTGGGTGGGACACTGAGGACTTACAGCCCAGCAAGAGCCTGAGAAGAACCTGTGGAGACAGGGGGATGCAGGCAGTGGCTGTTCTTAGCAGAAGGGCAGGGCCCACTCAGCGGAAAGTTAATGAGGACCTGGTTGTGGACACAGCTGGAGTCAATAAGACCCGGGTTTGAAGTCCAGCTCCTCCACTCACTCACTATCACGAGGACGGCATGAGGAAAACCGCCCCCGTGATTCAATCACATCCCACCAGGTCCTTCCTTCAACACGCAGGGATTACAACCCGGATGCCATTTAGGCGGGGACAGAGAGCCAAACCATATTACTGGGTGCCCACAAACAGAACACTTGTACTTTCTGTGCCTCAATTTTCCCATCTGAGAAACGGCGGTAGTAATGACACTCACCCCATAGGACCATGCTGAGGATTATAGGAGCTGTTTTGTGCTGCTATCCAGGTGCCCCTTATCCAGTAGCTGCTTCTCCTCCCTCTTTACAACTGTGTGCGGATGTCGAGTCTTTTTCCAGAAGCAGGGGCAGGGCTAAACTCTGCCCGTGCTAGGCATAGTCACAGACATCACTCATGGGACCCTCACCTTACAGCCCAGGACACAGAGGCACACAGAAGATACTTAAGCTGCCAAGTCCTCAGCCAGGCTGTGGCTGAGCCAGGATTGAGCTCAGGGCTGTCTGGCTCCCCAGGTCATGATCCTCATCAGGCCAGATGCTGCTGGCTTTATCCCACTCTCATCACCTCTGTGGTCCTCACTTTCCTTGTCCCCGTGCTGAGGCTGAGGATCTGTGGCTAGCTGTGCTCCCCCACTCTTGTGAGGGTCCCGTGATGGGCAGCTGAGAGGCGCTTGGTCAGGTGTGCCCGCTGGGAGCGGGTGTTTTGGGGCCACGGGGGAGCTGTCTGGCCCCATCAGGCAGGTGACTCTGCCCTGTGCTTGGCATTTTTGGTTCAGTGGCTCTATTTTAAGCCAGAGGAGGTTAGACTTTGTGTATATGTGTTTCTCAGGTTGGAAAGCCGTCAGCTGAGCAGTCACCAAAAACAGCAACACCCGAGGCACCTCCCCCTTCAACTTACTCCCTCTGCCTCCTCCCCCCCTTCCTCCTTTGCAGACCTGAGGGAACCCAGTGATTTTCCTCTGTCCCATCGCGCCAGAGGCACACCCGCGTCCCTCAATGGGGCCTTGGATTTTCTTCTTTCAGAGCTCCAAGGTTGTCAGCTTTGAGGACGACAAAAAAGGTAATTCCAGTCCCAGGCTGGGCGCTGGGCATGCTTCTAAGTACTTGGAAGTCTAGACCTTTCTGAAGCCTTTGTGAGCCAGGCAGGCCGTTCCCGTCTCAGGGAGAGGAAAACTGAGGGGCAAGAGAGAGAGAGGACTCACCTAAGGCCGTGCAGGGTAGGGCAGTGGCAAGAAAGAACATGGGTGTCATGTTAGCCAGTCCTTGGTTCTGTCTTGGGCAAACGACTTCACCTCTCTGAGCCTGTTTCCTTGTGTGACCTGGGGCTAGGAATGTCTACCTGACAGTATTCCCGTGAGGATTAAATATAGTGTGTGAAGAACTGCTCAGCACAGAGTATGCCCAGCAAATGTTAGTGCTGCCCTCCACCCAATTAATTTCTTCTTTGCCCTTTTCCACACTGCCTGTTCCTTAGGGCTACTGGGATCTTAAGAGGTTGATTTTTTATAGTTAGACTATAGCCTAGTAATTTTCCAGAAAGCCAGAGGACCGGGCAGCTTCCCTAGTAAGATTTCTCTCCTGTCTCTCTCCTAAAAGAATGGACTATTTTAACGTCCAGGGACAGTAGGTGCCAGCTCCTTAGAGGTGGCAGTTGTGGCCTTTCTGTAGCATGATTATCATTGAGGGATCTGGTTTACAAGAAATTAAACACTGTCTCTTGGTAATTTAAGCAACATTACTGGTAGGAATTTGGGGTCTCTCATAATTTTCTGGGCATTGAAAGACAAACCATGTGACTTGGGGGACCCAGGGAGCTAAAATCTTGAGTAGAAAAACACCATAGCCACACCCAGTGGGGGCACCATTGCTCCCAGGCCGGTGAAGATATTATTTGGGGGACAAATGACAACTGTCTGAACAAGACTCTGTCTCTGACGGGTGTCAGGCAAGGCTGCTCAGAGGAGTCCCTACCCGTGTTTGTGACCATTTAGTTGGAGTCATTGAGAGTTTGTTCTTCAGCCTTGTAAGGATCCATATCTTTGAGTTAATGGAGTTATTAAAGCCCTTACTCTGGGCCAGGTGCGGTGGCTCATGCCTATAATCACAGCAGTTTGGGAGGCTGAGGTGGGCAGATCACTTGAACCCAGGAGTTCGAGACCAGCCTGGGTCACATGATGAAACCTTGTCTCTATAAAAAATACAAAAAAATTAGCCTGGCATGGTGGTGCATGCCTGTAGTCCCAGCTACTCGGGAGGCTGAGGTGGGAGGATCACTTGAGCCTGGGCAGGTTGAGGCTGCAGTGAGTCATGATCACGTCACCGGAGCCTGGGGAGGCTGGTGCATCAGCCACTGCACCTTGGCCTGGGTGACAGAGTGAGACTCGGTCTCAAAAACACAAAAACAAAAAGCCTTTACTGTGGTTTGTTTTAGATTTGAAAATCTAAGTGATAGGAGTGTGGAGGTTTGCTAAGCCATTCTCTCTACTTTCATGTATATTTGAGAATTTTCACAATAAAACACTTTTTAAAAGAACCTTTTCTCTCTGCCCATCCCACCCTATTTTTTCCCCTGCTGTTTATTTGGTCTGAGTGGGAGGTTACTCTGTTACAGTAAATAAGAACATTGACTGAGTAGCTAGTATGATCCAAGCACAAAGCAGGTCTCACTTTATTCAATCCTCAGACCAACAGTAGGCTCTGCTAATTCCACCCTGTAGATGAGGACACTGAGGCTCAGAAGGATGCAGTGATTTTTTTTCAAAGTCACAATTCCAAGGAGAGGGGAAGCCAGCTGCTGAGCATTTACTCCTGATGGCGGCCCTTCCCTGTCAGTGAGGAGCTTAGCACGGTGCTGTTACAGGTGATAGTTGTTGCCATATGGCAATTTGAGCCCAGCTGCTACTCACAGAGACCTATTCCTGCCAAGGACCACCCCTCCCTTTCCCAGTCAGCATAATATATTGGAATCAAGAGATGTCTGAATCAAAGGGGGCAGGACTTGCATTTTAGAAGACATGGGCTAGAGAGAGTCAAGACAAATAAAGAGCCTGCCCAGGTGCAGTGGCTCACGCCTGTAATCCCAGCACTTTTGGAGGCCGAGGCGGGCAGATCACTAGGTCAA